TCCAAAAAGGTTGATAAGACACCATATGAGATATGGAGTGGTAAGAAACCACATATGTCTTACATGAAGATTTGGTGTTGCGAAGTTTACGTCAAACGACAAATTTCAACCAAGCTTGAGCCCAAATCTGACAAATGCTTATTTGTGGGGTATCCTAAAGAAACAAGATGATATTACTTCTACAATCCTTCTGAGGGCAAAGTGTTTGTCGCTCGAACTGGAGTCTTTCTGGAAAGGGATTTTATTTCCAAAGGAAACAGTGGGAGGAAAATAGAGCTTGAAGAAATTCAAGAATCACAAAACATTGAAACACCTATGGAGGAACTAGAGCGGGAAACACAAGTAGTTGTGGAAGAGCAACCTGCTCAAGTAGAACAAGACCAGCGTAGGTCAAGCAGGATACGTCACCAACCTGAGAGATATGGATATCTCATAAGTGATCAGGGTGATGTATTACTCATGGATCAAGATGAGCCTGTGACCTACAAAGAGGCCATAACTGGTCCTGAGTCTGAGAAGTGGCTAGAAGCCATGAAATCTGAAATGGATTCCATGTACACAAACCAGGTTTGGACCTTGGTAGAACCTCCTATAGGAGTTAACCCTATAGGATGCAAGTGGGTCTTCAAGAAGAAGACTGACATGGATGGTTAGGTACATACCTAAAAAGCAAGACTGGTTGCAAAAGGCTATAAACAAATTCATGGGGTTGACTATGATGAAACCTTTTCACCAGTTGCGATGCTTAAATCTGTTCGGATTTTACTTGCCATCGCTGCATATCATGATTATGAAATATGGCAGATGGATGTCAAAACTGCTTTCCTTAATGGGAATCTTCTTGAGGATGTGTACATGACACAACCTGAAGGATTTGACATACCACAAGATGCCCAAAAGATATGCAAGTTACAGCGATCAATCTATGGATTGAAGCAAGCTTCCAGAAGCTGGAATCTTCGTTTTGATGAAACCGTAAAACAATATGGATTCATCAAAAATGAAGATGAACCTTGTGTCTACAAGAAGGTTAGTGGGAGCATGATCGTGTTTCTGGTATTATATGTAGATGACATATTACTCATTGGAAACGATGTCCCTACCTTGCAACAAGTGAAGACTTGGTTAGGGAATTGTTTTTCTATGAAAGACCTAGGTGAAGCAGCCTATATATTAGGAATTAGGATCTATAGAGATAGATCACAAAAACTGCTTGTCCTAAGTCAGAGTACATACATAGATAAAGTGTTGAGACGCTTTAATATGCATGATTCCAAGAAAGGATTCATACCTATGCAACATGGTCTGTGTTTATCAAAAACACAATCCCCTTCAACTAAGGAAGAAAGGGATCGCATGAATAAGATTCCATATGCATCTGCAATAGGATCTATCATGTATGCCATGTTATGTACTCGACCAGATGTCTCGTATGCATTAAGTGCAACGAGTAGGTACCAATCTGATCCCGGTGATGCTCACTGGGTAGCTGTCAAGAATATCCTTAAGTACTTGAGAAGGACTAAGGATTCATTCTTGATATATGGAGGTCAGGAAGAGCTTGATGTAATTGGTTACACTGATGCTAGCTTCCAGACAGATAAGGATGATTTTAGATCACAATCTGGTTATGTGTTTTGTCTCAATGGTGGCGCTGTGAGCTGGAAAAGTTCAAAGCAAGAAACAGTTGCTGATTCTACAACTGAGGCCGAGTATATTGCTGCCTCAAATGCAGCAAAGGAAGCTGTTTGGATCAAGAAGTTCATTAGTGAACTTGGCATAGTCCCTAGCATTGTGGATCCCATTGGTTTATATTGTGATAACAATGGTGCTATCGCACAAGCTAAGGAGCCTAGATCTCACCAACGATCCAAACACATACTTAGGCGTTATCACCTCATTCGAGAGATAATCGATCGGGGAGATGTGAAGATATGCAGAGTACCTACACTTGACAATATCGCTGACCCATTAACAAAGCCTCTTGCGCAACAGAAGCATGATGGTCATACTAGATCTATGGGTATTAAGGGTATGCCTAATTGGCTCTAGTGCTAGTGGGAGATTGTTGGTGTAAGCCCTAGAGGCCAATACTTTTTGGTACTTGTATCGGATTATTCGTTTAATAATAAAAGGCATTTCTTTATTATGTTTGTCTTTCAGAATAATAAAGTCCCTAGAATAGTTAGTCTGTTTAATGAAATGTTAAGTGTGACTTAATCATGAGATCCCATTAAACATAAAGACATTATTCTTAAAATATCCGTAGTCAAGCTTTATTGCAAAGTGGGATAACATTAAAATCATTGAGACTATTATGAAGATAGACTGATGATCACATCTCATGGATCATGGATAAAGAGTTATCAAGTCTTGACATAGGTATAAATATTAGGAGTAATATTTATACCGGATTGACCCGCTATGAGAATACTACATAGTATGTTATGCAAAGTGTCATAAGTTATTCTCATGGTGATAATGGTGTATTACCACCCTTCGACCTGAAACCACTATGGACCCTAGATGTAGAGTCGGGCGCTTTATTGCTGATCAAACATTATCCGTAACTGGATGATCATAAAGACAGTTGATGGGCACTCCACGAAGCATGCTGAGGGACATGAGTGTCCTAGATGGAATTTGCCAATCCTGCATAACAGGAGAAATGTCTAAGGGCCCAATATTGAACTGGACAAGGATGACACAGTGTATGCCTTGTGTTCGATATAGACATAGGGGCAAAAGGGTAATTGTACAAACATATATTATCACGAAAAAGGTTTTGTCAGATCACATGACATTTTCGTGACTTGGGTAGCAGTGATGTGTTGCTAGATACCGCTTACTGTTTATTATGTTAAATATATAATTTAATATAATTACCAACGTTACGAAATCCTACAGGGTCACACACATAAGGACAGTTTGATGAGAGATAGAGAAATCAAAGGAACACCGTAAGGTACGGTGCACTTAAGTGAAAAAAATAGAAATTCGGATAATATAATAATAATTATTGTTATTTTATAATGGTTATAAAATAATAATAAAATAAATATATTTATTATAATAATAGTTATTATAATAATATATAATATTATTATGGATCATGTGAATTGGGTTTTTAGCCCGCAGCCCACAAGAGAGTCTATAAAAGGAACCCTTGTGATGAAGCTTTCACTTGATGCAATTTCGTTTTTGATTCTCTTTTCTCACTCAAATAATTCCGTTCGTAAGCAGCTAGCACTGTGACCGGAAGCTGTTCGTGTGGACTGAGTAGAGGCGTTGCACTTCATCAACGCTTGTGATCGCTGCATCAAAGATCTGAATCGCCACAAAGAGGTAACGATTCTATCACTGACCATGCTCATTCGTAAGGATCACTAAAGGAAATTTTTGTTTTCCGCTGCGTTTAGATCGCAATTTTCCATCATTGCAAAGGTCCCCTGTATTTGGGAGTATTCTGAGAAGAACAGGAAGGTTTGAAACCTAAGCCGAATTTGTCTTGTTTGACAGAAACATCAAGCATCTGGCCCCACTTCTGGGAAGATCCAGATTCAACGATAGCACGGGCTTCTTTAAAGGATGACATTGTATCAAAGGTAGAGGTAGTCTACCTTAGCTTTATGTGTTTGTTTTGAATAGCCTTGTATGTGAAGAAGTGATGATTAATATATGATGAATATTTTTGTTCCTAATGATCCATTCTTGCTTTGTAAAACTCTAGACATAAATTTTATGGAACTTGACTTAAAATATTCATTTATGGATATTCTTTCACAACATACATCATTTTAGATATTCTTTCATTCACACATTCAATCTAGTTTGTCACTCATTCACTTATTTATGTACTGGAGTGTTAATCCTACAAATTCATTTATGCTATGTCGTAGAAAAATTCACTTCATTAGACCAAAACTATATTTCATTCAATTTTCACTTATTTCTAGTTATATTACCGAATAGCGAATACTTTAGCATTTTTTTATCATCATTACTTCATCTTTTTTTTTTATCAACAATTAACGTTATTTTACAAACTTGTACATGTTGTTTTTAATTATTTCTACTTTAAAATTTGTATGGTGTTGCTTTTTGAGTGATATTTAATTAGATAAATATAAATCAATTTTACATTATACTGTGTTACGACCAGTAAATACATCATATTGAGATTATATATATAAGCGTGCTTTGTATAGACTTTTAAACTCTTTTGATTTTATTTATAAGAGAATTTTTTTTATATTTATTAAATAATCAATATATCTGAACTGTATTATAAAATAGATATATTAATTATTTAATAAATTTAAAAAATCAAATTTCTCATATAAATAAAACTAGAGGGAGTATTAATTGTTTAATATTTAAAATTTTAAATGAGCGATATAAAAAATTATAAATATCAGCATCAGAAACTTTTTTTTTTTAATAATCATATTTTTCAAAATAAATTTTAAAATAATTATATTTTCAAAAAAAAAAATTTCAAATTAAATATTTCAAACAAAAAAAATAGTTGATAAGAGGTGTAGGCTGACGTATGTATACAATTTTGGTACACATTAGCCATTGCATACACCACTTATCAACTAAGTGTTTTTGTTTGAAATATTGTTAATTTGATATTTGTTTTAAAAATATGATTATTTTAAAATTTATTTTAATATGATTATTTTAAAATTTATTTTGGAAAACACGGTTATTTTTTAAAAAAATTTCCCAGTCTCTATTCAATGATTTTCAGCTCACTATTTGATATGACCTGAGCAAATAGGGCTCAAAAACACATAAGCTACAATCATGAAATTGTATATGTAAATTCCAATTACTTTTCAATGTTGACATAAGAAGAAAAAAATAAGAAATTTGAGTAACAAATACAATAGAGAAATAAGAAATATCTAATCAGATTCTACACAAGGAACATGGTAAATCAAATTAATCAAACCACAAATAATCTATATTACTTTTCTTCTTCTTCCATAGATTTAAAGCTTAACAATCTCAGGAATATGAACAGGATAACGATCAATGCAATCTTCCCAAGGTCCATCAATGGGTGTCTTAATGCTTCTGTTACATTTCCACACAGCACTATTGCATTTAAATCCACTTCCAAAAGCTATTTGCCATATTCTATCTCCTTTCTTCATCCTTCCTTTTGATTCAATATAGTTTAATTCATACCATAAAGACGAAGAAGAAGTGTTCCCGAATCGATGCAGCGTCATCCTCGAAGCCTCGACGTGTTCGGATGATAGCTGAAGATTCTTCTGTAACTCATCGATCACGGCGCGGCCACCAGCATGAATACAAAAATGCTCAAAGGCTTGCTTGAAATCAGGAATATAAGCCTTCCATTTAGGGTTGAAAATTTTCTTTCCAATGAGTGTTAAAAGAAAGAGTAACTGTTCTGAAGCTGGTAGAACAAGAGGACCAATAGTTGTTATATTTGATTTCAATGCTTCTCCTGCTATAGCCATGAGATCTTTTGAAAGTGAAATTCCTACTTTACCTTCTCGGTCTTCTTCTTCGAAAACGCAACGGTAAGCTTTATCGTCGGCGCCTTTGTGTGTTCTAACAACTTGAACTAATCTATATTTTGCTCTTTTGTGTTCTTTTCTTTTGTTTGATAAAAGAATTGCAGCACCACCCATTCTGAATAAACAATTTGGTAAAAGCATTGCTCTTTCTTTTCCTTGGTAATAGTTTGGTGTAATGATTTCTGTGCTCACAACAACCGCGTTGGAATTTGGATAAACTTGGAGAAGATCGCGAGCTAAATCAATGGAGATTAAGCCCGCGCTGCACCCCATTCCGGAGAGGTTGAAGCTTTTAATGTTACGTCTAAGTTTATATTTGTTGATCACCATGGCAGACAAAGAAGGAGTTGGAGAAAATAGGCTGCAATTGACTATAAGAATGTCTATGTTATTAGGTTTGAGTCCAGTTTTCACAAACAACGAATCCATGGACGAGAAGATAACAAGCTCGGCTTCACGTCTCGCTTCTTCCATGGTTGGATTAGGCGGGATATAATGGATTGCCGCAGGCAAACATGTTTCTTCTCCTAGGCCCGACCGTTCGAGCATCCGCATTTGGAACTCGACACTTTTCGGATTGTCCTTGAGGATTAGTCTCGAATGTTCCATAAAAGTAGCGAAAGGAACACGACAAGTAATCGGCGGTTTGAAGCAAGCGTAATCGACTAGGTAGATTGTGTATGGTTTAGACATGAAGTATATTGTTGATATAAAGATGATGAGAAACATAGAGCATAGGATATGTATGATATCAAACTTAAGGGAGTTAAAAAGATTGAGAATTTCATAAGGGCCTAAACGTAGTAGTTCTACGAAGATACAAACCATGATGGTTAAGAATGTGAGGGTGATAATATGGTTCACAAAATATTGATACAAAAGTTTAGCATACTTGTTTTTTGAGGAATTTTGCAACATTGAAGGCATTTTAGTTAGCACTTTGATGAAAACAAGAAAAGGTTATGATTTGTTGATTGGTATGAGAGTTGAGAGAAGAAAGAATATGGAATTTGATGAATGAAAATAAGAGTGAAGATGTGGTTTTAAAGGGATGGAGGGACCTAAGAAAAGAAATGGGGCAGATGAAAAGATTAAATGATGAAACTTGATTCCCATCTCTCAACGCTCATTGAAATTCGAACATCAATTTTCATAACTTCCCTTTCCATTTCTAACTAAACCTTAAGACACTTTTTTCAATAATAATGTTTTGTTATCAAATGTAAATTTTGTCCAATTTGTTTACTATTCATTTATTGCAATGGTACTTTACGTAATTAAAATTGCAAAAAGAAAAGGCAAAAGAGGAGTTACCTTATTTAGCTTTGAGTGATGATTCACACAACCATCTCATGAATAGTAGTTAAAAAAAAAGAAGGAAAATAAATGAACCGGAATGAGTTAAGAATTGTTTTTATTAGAGGTCTAGGTGTGTGTCTTTGTGTTTGTGTATATTTAATAGTCACAAAAATAGTTTGATCATAAATTCAAATAAATGAATTGCTTCAATTGTGGTTATTAGGTTCTGGTTGTTCTCATGGATGGGACCTCATAGTTTTATTAGAACCTTGCAATTAGAGACCCCATAAAAAAAAAACAAGAGTCAATTATTTTAAAGCTTGTCCATAAAGGACTAGTAATCTTTGACACAATGATAGTACTCTTTGATACAAAGAATATAAGATGACTAGGGTGAAGAAGATTTGTTATCGTGTACAGAAACAGCAGTACAAAGCTATTGATGTTCAGGAAAATTAAAAAGACAAATGAATCCTATATGTTGAGATGCATGTAATTCATAAACCAATGAACTAATATTTTCATATTAGTTTGATATCATGATTTTCACACTATTTTAATTTCTATAAAGAACAATAAAAATACATCCGAATCTATGATGTTGGTGTTAAAAGTATTTTTGATAAATCAAGTGTAGTAACCGATTAATACATAGGTGTAACCGGTTACAGTAACGCCAAAATCACTTATGAGTTGAAAGAATAGGAAAAATGTTGAAGTTGTAACTGGTTAACGACTGCACGTAATTGGTTACCCTGAAAGGAGATTTATTTTCGTGTCAGATGTCATCGGTTATAGGTTTAGTGTAACTAGTTACAGGTACGATTTTTTCAATTTTTCCGTTAGGTAATTGTATGAATTATGTCTCAATAACTTTTGTATTGTGTGTATAAATTCCTTGTAAGCATCCTCATCTTTGTTAGTATGAATGTGAATGAAACTTTTTCACCCTCAATCATCTCTCTCTCTCTCTCTCTCTCTCTCTCTCTCTCTCTCTCTCTCTCTCTCTCTCTCTCTCTCTCTCTCTCTCTCTCTCTCTCTCTCAGTTTTCTCTTTCCCTCTTCACACTCTATTTTTCTCCATCATTAATCAATCTTGTGGTTCCAAGTTTCTACATTTGGCATTAAGATCCTGGTTCTGATCCACAAACACCTAGCGTGCAATATGAATTCTGCCTCCAATGAAAGAATCCATGCAAACCTATCCATCTTTGATGCGATGAATTACGAAAAATGATGCAAGCAAATGAAAGTGTTCTTTGGTTATCAAAATGTTCTTGAAGTGATTAAGAACAGGGTGAATCCTCTTGTCGAATGTGTAACGGGTGCACAACAAGCAATGCATAAGGAAGAGAAGAAGAAAGATTTCAAGGTGCTATTTTTGATCCATCAATGTGTGGATGGTGACAACTTTGAGAAATTTGGTGATTGCGAATCGTCAAAGTAAGCGTGGGAAATCTTAGAGAAGGCATACGCAAGGGCTGGCAAGGCAAAGGCGGTAAGGTTATAAACACACAATCGTCAACTTGAATTGATTCAAATGCAAGAAAAAGAGACAATCAATGATTTCACAACAACAATCACTCGGTTGGTGAATCAAGGAAGGCATGTTAAGAAACAGTCACATAGAGTAAGTTGTCGCGCAAATTTCGCGTTTTTAACCACCAAGATTTGACAACGTGGTTATAACGATTGAGGAATCAGAGGATCTAGCAACGATGAGCAAAGAGGAGTTGCGAAGCTCTCTTGAGGCTCATGAGAAAATGATGAAGGAGAGAAATAATGATAAGGAAAAAGCGGAGATTGCTTTGCAAGCTCCCTTCAACGAGAATGACAAGAGATTGAAAGGAAACTGACCTATCAAGAGTAAAGGAATTTTTAGAATTTTTGTGGAAGAGAGTCCCCAAATTCCAATAATTTGACCTGTTAAAGGGTTGAGAGTAGATACAACAAAAATGGTTGTCAAGGAAACTTTAGAGATGAAAATGAGAGGTTTGACAAAAGCAAGAAGCAAGACTTTAGGTGTTAAAGGATTGATCATTTTGCAAAAGAGTGCAATGCGAACAAGAAGGAACCTCAAGGAGATGAAAAAAGGTTGCAAGACAAAAGTTTGATGAAGAAAATACACGTTTGGTCATGATCACGGTATGAGAATGCAACTGCAACAGGTTACGGGACAACTGCAACAACAATTATGGGAATGTTGCAAAAAATTGGTTGTAACTAGTTACATGAAAGCATTAACTGGTTACATGCAGAAGAAAATGTCATGGTGAATGTGAGAGAACGAGTCTAGTGTAGCGAGGAATGATATTTGGACTCAGGATGCTCTACTCATATGACAAGGAGAAAGAATTGGTTTGTTAAAATCAATTGTGCCACAAAAAATAAAGTGAAGTTCCCTGATGACACCACTCCAACGACCAATAGGATCGGTGATGTTTTGATCATGAGAAGGGATGATGGACATTACTTGATCAAAGATGTATTGTACATTTTAGGAATCAAATGTAACCTTCTAAGTATTGGCCAATTACTTGATAATGGTTACAAGATTCACATGGAAAACAAGGGGATGCGTGTTATGGATGCAAACAAGGTTTTGGTCCTTAAAGCTCTTATGGTTTCCAATACAACCTTCAAGGTTGAGCTTAGATCTATCAAAATGGGCTAGCCCATATGGGCCGGCCCACCAGGCTGGAAAAATCATAGGGCTTAGACCTTAAAATTAGAGTCCATATTTTTCAAGGCTTTTTTAGCCCAACCCTATAAAGCTAGCTCGTACGGACCGTGGGTAGCCCATTAGGCCAGCATAACTTTAAATTTTTAAAAAATTATATTGATACTTATATTGTCCTACTTTGAAATAACACATTAAATCTTATACATTAATATAGTACTTCAAAATGTATTATGTTTAAAATAATATAATTTTTAATTTCAGTTATAATAAATATTACGGGATTATTATTTTTATTTTTTATTAAAAAAATCCATTTATGGCTGGGTATCCCGAAGCCCATCTAGGGCCAGACTCGGGTAGTAATTTTCAAGTCCATGTTACAACAGGGCTTCTTTAGCTTAACCCTAAAAATCCAAGGCCCATCAGTGCTGATCTGTTTATGGCAGGATAACCCATTTTGATAGCTCCATTTAGCTGAATGTTATGAAGCATATATGTCTTGCTACAACGGCAAGTCGAGAATAGTGGATATGGCAATATTGTCTTGGGTGTCTCAATTTTCAAAATCTCAAAGACTTGCAAAAGAATGGAATATTAACGAGGTTGCATTGATTAACATACTAGCTGAAATTTGTGAAGAATATGTGCAAACGAAGGAACAGAAGGGTAAATTCATCAAGGATGTAGGTTGTAGAACCAAGAATTACCTTGAGGTGGTGTATTCAGATGTGTGTGGACCGACGCAAGTAGATTCCATTGGTGGAAATAGATACTTTGTCACATTCATCAACAATCATAGAAGAAAGTTATTGAAATACCTAATCAAGAGAAAAGATGAGGCATTTGAAGTGTTTAAGAAGTTTAAGTTCATGGTTGAAAGGCAAAGCGATCACAGACTCAAAGTGGTCAAAACAGATGGTGGAGGCGAATATGTCTCAAAAGACTTTGAGAGGTTTTATGATCAGGAAGGGATTGTGCATGAGGTTGTACCACCTTATACACCGTAGCAAAACGGTGTTGCCGAAAGGAAGAATCGACCGATCATGAACATGGTAAGAAGCATGTTAAAGCGTAAGAACTTACCGATAGAGTTATGGGGAGAAGCGGTATACATAACTTCCTATTTGTTGAATAGATGTCCAACAAAGAAGCCTGAGAAGGTAACACTGAAAAAAGCATGCTCGAGATTCAAACCGAATTTGAACCATTTGAGAGTTTTTGGTTCTGTAGCGTATCGACATGTTCCGGGGCAACTTAAAAAGAAGCTAGATGATAAGGGTGAAGTGATGCTTCTTGTAGGGTATAACTCTACCCGTGGTTACAAGTTTTCTGATGTAGAAAAGAGGATGGTTGTGATCAGTCAAGACATCATTGTCGACGAAATCAAGGAGATGCAGTAGCCTGTAACTGGTTACATCAAAGTTGTAATTGGTTACAACTTTAAAAATTTAGATTCTCAAGAAACGGAAGTGCAGAAACTCCCGCTGTCGAAGCCCGAATTGAAGAAAATGTGAGAAGATCAACAAGGCAAAGAGGCTTGCCTCAAAGATTCCAAGATTGTGAGTTGTTAAAAGACAACAAAGTTAACGATGACAGTGATTTCTACTATTTTGAACTTATATCCGAACTCGAACCCGTTAAAACGGAAGAGGCTTTTAGTGATCCAAACTAGATGTGTACTATGAAGGAGGAGTTAGAATCTATAAATAAGAACAATACTTGGGTGTTGTGATGAGAATTAGATATCAAGATATTTATTAACTTGAATCACAAATCTTTAAATATTCACCACCGAGCTTTGATTTATCGAAAGGAAAGGGTAAAGATCGTTGAAAATCCTAAGTGCGTTATGTAACAACAAAGCTAAGAGAATCTAAGGTTCGCGGGTTGGTTATACCTAGGAAAGGTGTTAGCATTCTAAGTATCTATAGTACTATATAGGAACC